AGCTGGAGCTTCCTCGGCTTCAGTTTGTGCCCATTGCCCCTTGTCCTGTCACTGGGCACCACTGGAAAGAGTCTGGCCCCGTCCTCCTGACCCCCACCCTGCAGATATTTAGAGGCATTTCGAAGGTCCCCTCTCAGCCTTCTCTTCTCCAGGCTGAACAAGCCCAGCTCCTTCAGCCTCTCCTCATAGCAGAGATGCTCCAGTCCCCTCCTCATCCTCATAGCCCTGCGCTGGACTCTCTCCAGTAGCTCCTCATCTTTCTTGAACTGGGGAGCCCAGCACTGGACACAGCAGTGCAGATGGGGCCTCACTAGGTTACTAGCTAGTAACCAGGGGCCTCACCTGCATTAACAGTTTGGTGATGGGGAGTTAGCTCTGGCCTTCAGATTAGATCAAGGCACCAGTGCTAGACTGGACACAGCCAGAAGGATCAGTGGGGTAGGAGTAGGTTGAAGCTCATACGTGAATTTACAGCCCAGAGCGGCTGTAAAAGGCCGTTGCTATTATGGACTCTCCACATCTAGATGTGTACAAGTCTCTGATATGACCCTAAACCCATTAGCTGGCTGATTCACCTGCTGTTATTCCTTCTCTATGAGTGCCCGTCCTACGGGATTTAAAGAGTTTAAAGGATTACTGTGGGTATAGAAGAAGCCATTAAAAGGAATCAATACAGAAGAGCAGGACCAAATGAGTTTGCCTCGACGAAGCAGCTGGAACAACTTCAGCCTCTCTTCCTCCCATTTCCTCTCCCTTCCCCCTTCCCCTTTCCTTCAGCTCTTTGTGAGCATCGTTCACCACCTCGTGAAGTGCTTCTGCCTCTGCAACTGCACCAGCAAAAAAAAAAACCCTGAATGGGTCAAAGCGTGAGACCAGGACCTGAGGTTTCTCACTGCAAGCCACGTCTCTGCCTGCTTTTCTGCAGAGTCCAGAAAAACAGCATTTATTAACCACATTTTTTAAAACGTATTGACAGTGCAGTTAATGCTCTCCTCCGAGCCTCTCTGTTTGATGTTGTCCTGCTTGTGCCAGCTTCACACTCCTCCTGCTCTTTGCCACCCCTCCCTGAGCTTTTTCCTGCTGCTGGTTCAAACGCAGAAGAAAAGCATCATTATCTTCTCTCTTTTAAAGTTCAGCTTTGCAGAGCTGGAAATGAGACTGCTATCACAGATGGGGCGAATGCATTGATAATAATAGACCCAGATGTAGCTTGGATGTTATTTTCAACGAGGGTCTGCCAGGAAATGCAGACTACAGGGCGAGAGAAGTAATAAATGAAAAGACCGTGCTAGGTCATTTATTGTCACCCCCCAGCTGAGCGTACAGCTGTTCTGGTCAGCCCCGTGCTCAGGCGTATGGGCTGGCTGACTCACGCCGTGGCAACCTCTGCCTGAGAATTTAGCGTTGCACACATTTGATTTCACTCTTTGAGTTCCGTCTGATTGAAAACTGACAGCTTCTGAAGTCTTCAGCTCTTAAGAAGCGACAATGTTTGACCATGTGTCTGGACTTTAGGTGAGGAACTAAAGCAAGCGCTGGCCACCTGCGTGATACCTTTATCTGCACTGAGCAGCCCCCGCTCCACATTGTGTTATCAGACCGCTCCGGGGCCTCGCTGGCTGCTGAAAGGGGCCTGTGGGCCTTGCCTAGGAGTCAGAAACTTTAAAAAATCGAATAATTTTTTAGGACCCTGCAGCAAGGAGCTGAAACGTGACTACAGGCTTGAAGCTGGTGAAGGGTCTGGAGAACAAGTCCCATGAGGAGCAGCTGAGGGAGCTGGGGCTGTTCAGTCTGGAGAAGAGGAGGTTGAGGGGAGACCTTCTCGCTCTCTCCAGCTCACTGACAGGAGGTTGTAGTGAGGCCGGTGTTGATCTCTTCTCTCAAGTAACCAGCAATAGGATGAGAAGCAATGGCCTCAGGCTGCGTCATAGGATGATTTTCTTTACTGAAAGAGTGGTCAGGCGTTGGCATAGGCTGCCCAGGGCAGTGGTGGAGTCCCCATCCCTGGAAGGGTTTGAAAAACATGTAGATGTGGCCCTTGGGGACATGGTTTAGCAGGCATGGTGGTGTTGGGTTGATGGTTGGACTTGATGATGTTAGAGGTCTTTTCCAAACTTAATGATTCTATGATTCTGTGAACTACCCCAACAAGACCATAGTGATGGGTTTATGCCACCGCTTAATGTGGCTCTGATGAGATAAATGGACCAGTATCAATCTGTAACTGGAATGGGTCAGAGGTCTGGATGAAACCTCCTAGACTGCTGACAGACAGACCCAAAATCCATGGCCTTGTCAGGATGCCCTACAGCTCATGCATCCTGGCTTTCCCTTTCTGAGCATGGGAGCACATCTTTACCTGAGGGCTGGAAAATGGGAAAACACCTGTATAGTTCAACGGGAAAGTGACACCCAGAGCCAAATAAAAGCCTTTGGTCAGACCCTGAGCTGGTGGGAACAGATGTTGCTGGTCTGGTTGTAACTTGGCAGGTCCTGGTGCAAGGCATTTAATTTCCCAGCAGCGAGAGGCCAGTGAAGTGCCTGCCTTGTTACGACCATACACACATTAAAAGAGCAGAAGAGCCTTCCTCCAGGCACAGCCTGCCCCGGCACCGACATCCCACATGGGTCTTCCTCGAAACCTGGAGCACAAAGAGGAGATCTCTGTTTGGTTAGCACTGAGCACAGCTGCACATCTGTGGATCTCCAGCACACGGTTCAGGTGTGGGACCTAATATATACTTACAAATATCACAGAATCACAGAATCACAGAATAGTAGGGGTTGGAAGGGACCTCTGGGGGTCATCTAGTCCAACCAACAGATGTTGCTGGTCTGGTTGTAACTTGGCAGGTCCTGGTGCAAGGCATTTAATTTCCCAGCAGCGAGAGGCCAGTGAAGTGCCTGCCTTGTTACGACCATACACACATTAAAAGAGCAGAAGAGCCTTCCTCCAGGCACAGCCTGCCCCGGCACCGACATCCCACATGGGTCTTCCTCGAAACCTGGAGCACAAAGAGGAGATCTCTGTTTGGTTAGCACTGAGCACAGCTGCACATCTGTGGATCTCCAGCACACGGTTCAGGTGTGGGACCTAATATATACTTACAAATATCACAGAATCACAGAATCACAGAATAGTAGGGGTTGGAAGGGACCTCTGGGGGTCATCTAGT